TTGAAAAAGACAATCACAAAGTTTTTCAGTAGTCAACCAGTAGATATGGACATAAGATACACAGCAGACCAAGATGAAATGGCTTTAAAAAGCAGTGACATGAGATGAGGGGCAGTGATGGGATTCAGCCAATTTGCACCAGTTTGGGAGAACTGGTTGTTAACTTTCTGAGCAGTTTGGTGAACTGGTTGTTGGAAGAAATCATTAGGGCCAGTTGTTACATTATTTGAATCCCACCACTGATGAGGGTTTTCCCCCCCCATCATGCATAGTTGCCAGCCGGATTAGAGAGGGAAATGCCTATATAGAAATGAAGCTCAGCAGGCAAGTTTTCAACCCCATTCCAGCCAACACAAATCAGAAAGCTCTACTTTTGACTTTCTGGTTGTGTTGAACAGCCTCCTTTAGATGTTCATCTTCTTTGGTCTTGATATATCACTATTTCACAGGGCTTGGTCCGCCTCAATCTTCTGCCCTTCTTGGCTTGTTAGATTTATGTGCAAAGAGCCATTTCAACGGGAGAGTATTCAACTAGGGGATATTCAGTCCAGGGCCAAGTTAAGATAGGAAGTTGAGCGTCAACTCGTAAAGCATTCCTGGCCTCCTTTCGAGTTGCCATGGGGGGGGAGGGGAAACCCTGAAGGAGCCGCAAGGAAATCAAAAAGAAAAAAAAACAGAAGTACATTCCACGCATACCTCACCAAAGGGTCTCCTAGGTTATTGATCCAATTGGAGGGGCATTGTCTGTAGAGCCCGAGAAAGCCCTTGGTTGGAGAACATGATTTATAACACACCAGCCATAAAGATACTCCAGTTGGAGAAAGTGATTTATGACACACCCAGGGGGGAGGGGGAAAAGAGGTGCAATTACGTGAGGCAAAGTTGGCTTCATTAGGAGAAGCATTGACATGTTGCTCCTAATAAATAATTGGATTTCTTTGAAGTTTGGCTCGAGGCTCATGATTTGATTAGGGCTTCCGTTGGAACCCCGACATCAAGTTTGGGAACGTAACTCTCTCATTCTCCAAAGTCCAACAAAATCTATCTCATTAGCTTATCTCAGTTTATCTCTAAATAACTTCTCTTGACACCCATACCAGCTTTTGAGTTGCTGGGAGATGGGTAGCATATTATGGTTGATGGCCGAGTCATCTAGAAGATCAGACTGGATTTGACACTTTTGTCCACCTATCGCGTGTTATTTTTTTTGTACAATTATAGGACTGGGAGGGATCTTGTAGTCCTAGTCCAAGGCAAGAGTCCTTATTCCATCCTGGACAATTGGTTGTCCAGTCTTTTCTTGAAAACCTGCAGCGATGGAGTACCCACAACTCCAGGGTGCAAGCTGTTCCGTTGAGTAATATTGTTCTCACTGTGAGGAAGTTTCTCCTTAAGTTCCTTCCTCCTCCTAAGATGTCACATCGGTCTTTCTTGGAAGCTCCTTCTTGACTTTTCCACTTCTCCCTAACTTTAGGGATTTTGGCAGTGTGGAAGTTGCCTTAGGAGGAGCAGCTGAAAAACCAAATGTCATGATGATAAAGAAAAATCAAAGTCTGCGAAATAACAGTCTGCAGCCAACCGGGGTAAGTCAGGAAGGAAATAAAAATAATGTTTTAAACGTGAAGGGCCTCACTGTGAAATGCAAGGAAGACTGGATGCCCACCAACATTACGGTAATCTCAGAATAAAGACGTTGAAATGTTTCTTTCAGTGCTTCAGGTTGGGTTTTCTGCCTTTTATTAGTGGAATTCAGCCGCTCTTCAGTGCTGCTAAAATTTATTTTCCCTATCAATATTAATACCAGCAGGAAACTTTTAATCGGCTATGAAACTATCTATTCACTGCCTCTGTTTTCATTTCCACAATATTAAAGCAGAAAGTTGTCTTCACATTTGCATGAAAAGGAGGGTTGTCCCCCAAAATTTTGATGTTTCTCATCATATAGAAATCTATCCGGAATGGGGATAGATACCATACTTTGAAAAGAAGAGCACAGCCAGATTTTTATCCGCAGACAAATTAAAAAGAGTTTCTTGTGATTTTATGCTTCCAGTGCACCATCAGTCTAAAAATCTGCTTCTCACCGCCGGAACCTAAAATGGTTACGCACAGAAGAAAACATGATTTAAAGAAGTTGAGTAAGTATTGGGTATTTATTTGGGGGGACTAAAGTATGTATTGCGTGGAATTTGCATGGATTTTAATGTCTGATTCCTTGTCTGGACTGTTTTGAGCTCTTCGTGTTGAGAAGAAAGTAGGTGTTTTGTAACATGAAAAGAGATATGGGTAAAAGTCTGTGTGCTCCTGTTAATGAATTGGAGTAAAAAAATTGAAACTTTTTGTTAGTTAACAGTGGCAAGAAGGAACATGACATTGGACAAAACTCACTTAACTGTCCCATTTAGCAACAGAAATTTTGGGCTCGATTATCGTAAGTTGAGGACTACCTGTAGTATAACACATGCACTGATGGATATTTGAACCAATTTTTTTCCAGGAGGACAGATTCCTGTGTGTTTGGGGCTGAATGTAGGAGTCAGTGTGAAGACGCTGAGCATTCACACTTGAGAACTGACATGGTCTATTGGTGAAGGGGCTGGATTAGCTTTAGGGAGACCCCAGTTCTAGACTGCCTTTAACCATAGAGGTTCCCTGGAGGATTTTGACCCATTCTTCTTTCAAGAGTTATAATGTGGAGAAAACTAGGAGAAGGTAGTGCTATATAAGCTGCTTTGATCTACCAAGAGTGAGAAATAATTCTAATAAATAAATGAATATTTAAGGTCTTAAGAAGAATGTCCCCCTTAAAGGGCAAATGTTGATAATGGTCAGAGGTGGTATTCAGCTGGTTCTGACCACTTCTGGAGAAATTTTGAGTAGTTCGGAGAACCGGCAAATGCCACCTCTGACTGGTCCTGCCAACCCCATATATTCTCTGCCTCCTGAGTCCCAGCTTATCAGCTGGGTCTTCTTTGGCTGCCCTGCCCAGGAGAATGGAGCTGGAAAGCAGGTTAGTGGGATGGGGAGGGAATGGGATTTTGCAGCATCCTTCCCCCAGGAGTGGGAAGGGAATGGGGACTTTGCAGTAACTTTCTCCTGCCATGCCCACCAAACCATGCCCACCATGCCACACCCACCAAGCCACGCTCACAGAACCAGTAGTCAAAAGTGTTGAATCCCACCACTGATAATGGTGGTCCTTGTCCTTTCCCCCCAGTCTGTTGCCCTGTCTTTGCCAAGGCTTCTGGCATAGAAGAATTTACTCTCAAAGAAAACGAGGCACCTCAAGTACCAGCTCCAACATCAACCACCACGAAAGAGCTTTCCAACAAGAAACAACTGTTCCAGGTAATGCAACAGCTCAGCTCTTGATACTGGAAAGAAAGAAATAGACTGAGAGGACTGGTGGTTTTTCAGCAGATGTTATTCTTGTTGTAAGAGCAATTCTTGTAAATGGAAATGGATCTTTAATAAAGTCCGAACACCACAAATCATTTATTTCAAGTATGGTCCCACCAGTACAGTGTAAAGCTGTACTATGACAACAGAATAAGAGAGTTGGAAAAGACCTTGGAACATCCTCTGATCCAACCCCTGAGTAGGAACTGTATATCATTTCAGACAAACAGCTGTCCAGTCTCTTCTTAAAAACCTCCAGTGTGTAGCACCCACAACTTCTGGAGGCAAGTTGTTCCACTGATTAATTGTTCTGTCAGGAAATTCCTCCTTAGATCTAAATTGCTTCTCTCCTTGATTAGTTTCCATCCATTGCTTCTTGTCCTGCCCTCTGGTGCTTTGGAGAATAGATTGACTCCCTCCACTGCTACCATTTTACGCCTAGTCCTAATTTTAATTAAACTAAGTCCTTTTCATTAAACTATGAAGACTTTCATTAATCTATAAGCAATTATTTACTGTTCCCAATGATACAATTCAGTGGGGGAATTCAATTTTTTTTTACTACCGGTTCTGTGGGCGTGGCTTGTGGGCGTGGCTTGTTGGGTGTGGCATGGTGGGTGTGGCAGGGGAAGGATACTGCAAAATCTCCATTCTCTCCCCACCCACTAACCTGCTTTCCAGCTCCGTTTTCCTGTGCAGGGCAACAAAAGAAGACCCACTCCATCAGCTGGGATTTGGCAGGCAGAGAATAATTGGGAGTGGGGCCAGTCAGAGGTGGTATTCCGAATTACTCAAAATTTCTTCTACCGGTTTTCTGAACTACTCAAAATACAGAACCTGCCGAATACCACCTCTGATACAATCCCAGAAATGTATCAACTCTTTAGGACTCTTGTATTAAACTTACAAGAGTTAGCCTTCAAAAATCTGAACAATTTATATAGATAGCTGCAAAAGGGTCATGTTTCCTGTATCTCTTCGGTGGTATTTCATGATCATCCCAATTTTTACAGACTATGTATGGTGGTCCAAAGTTGGAATGACACATTCCTGGGGGAAATGAACATTTCTGTTTTCCTCAAGAGAAACAGAAGCTTCCAGAACATCCCATTTTCATGCTACTGGCCACTGGCGCACAAAGCTAGATAACCCACAAGAGATCCTGAACCCTTTGGACAAATTTCAGAACATGAAATGGGGCATCTTCTGAGAATGATTGCAGGATGGGACTGACCAGCAGTTTCTCCCTTGTAGGTGCGAGTTATCATCATCGAATGTAGACAACTGCAAGAAAACAACGTCAAACCGGTGGTGAAAGTCAGTATTGGAGATTATACATTCCGGACAAGAATCAGACGTGGAAACAATCCATATTATAATGAGGTTGGCATTCTGGACATTATTTTCTGGTATTTGAAGATTTTTCACAAGCATTTGGCTCAGTTAGAAAAAAAGACTAAGCTAATTAATATGCAATGAATTGAACTGTAGCCGTAGCTACACCTCTCAGTGTATAATACAAGCAACAAGTGATAAATCATGATCTTAATCATCGTAAACTGAAAGAAAAATATTTTAAGATAACGATCAGGTTCTGGGAATCAGTGTTCACATCCTTGCTTTTCAATATTGTTCTGTTTCTGCTGCGCAACCTTCGTTGGGGGAAAAGTGGCCTTCGAAAAAAATGACACTTTCTTTTTAAAGACTCTGCTTTAAAATAGTCATCAAAAGCCAATCTAAAGTCCATTCTGGTGTACAATTGCAAGAAAATAACATGAAAGTTTTGATTGCTTTTCTTGTAGACCTTTGTTCAAAATTTCAACGAGACGCCTCTTCACCTTTTTGATCAGTTTATTACCATACAGGTAAGCAAGCCAAGTCTGTTCCTCGTGGCCTCTTTTTGGGCTTCTGAATTCCCTTACAGAGCCTCTTCGGTGTGTCCTTTTTGGATATGCAAATGAAATATTTCTCCTGGCTTGGATGAAGCTGCCTTGTGGCAGCAGGAACAACCCTGAAAATGGAATCCAAGTGCAGCTATCTTGAGTCCAACAGAGCCACCGATGGGGAGAAGGTGACAAATTAAAAGTTGGCATTCAGATGTTATTCCAACTATCTGGAAATGGAGGTGGGTGGAATAATCCTGGATTCTATCAGCATGACAATTTCAGTGAAAAAAATCCATAATTGCTTCTCAGAGCAAAACAAAATATCCCACATACAGAAAAACATTTAAATTGAAAAACCAGTTTTAGGGGAGGAACAAAACAGATGCAGCTGAATTAAAATCCTCCTACCCATTTGAGTAGTGCAATGTAGTGCAGTGTTGCAGATGAGCGAGATTAATGTCAGTCACAAGGAACCAAGAACGACATGATGGTTTACTTACAGTAGTTTCTTTATGGTTGCTCACTTACAGACCAGAATCTTGCCAGACTAAAGCACAATCTGTGTAACAATTACAGGTAGTCCATGACTTACAACCACAGTTGTTCCACTTCTATTTGCAGGCTTTTGTATTTTGTTATCTTCTCCAGGTCTTTCTCTTCTATTCTGTGGTCCCCCATTAGTATAATAATAAAGTATTATAATGGGAATTTCTACATGATCTTGAACAGGTGCTGAACTCTCGGTCTGTCAGAGCAGATGCATTCATTGGTGTCTTTAAGGTGAGCTACTGCTACTTTACTGCTGACCAAATTTACCTATTTGGTAGACTTCTTGATAATGCTTAATCTATGCTTTCTGCTCTACTATCTTACTTATTATCTGTCAGGATTCCAGCAATTGCCCTAATTAAATCATGATTCTCGAGCCAAACTTCAAAAAACGTCAAAGGATCTATTAGAGGCAACATACTTGTATGAAGCCAACTCTGACATATGTAATTTACAGTCCCCCCTCCCCCCTGGGTGTGTCATAAATCAGATTCTCCAATTGAGCACGTTCACAGGCTGTCATCATTCATGTTCTCCAATTAAATATATTCACGGGCAAAAACTCTGGTATTTTAGTTACAATCTTTTAAAGAGAAGAGTTGGAATGTACTTTCATTTTCAACTGTTCTTCCAGATTTCCTTCCTCCTCCCCCCCCCTTTTTATGGCAACTACTAAAACAGGCATAGAAATGTTTTATGAGTTGACATTATCCTATCACCAGGTCAATTTTTTTTTTCTATTTAAACTGTCAACCAAACATGGAAACTAATCAAGGACAGAGCCAACCTAGAATTTAGGAGAAATTTCCTGACAATTAGAACAATTAATCCGTGGAACAACTTGCCTCCAGAAGTTGTGAATGCTCCAACACTGGAAGTTTTTAAGAAGAGATTAGATAACCATTTGTCTGAAGTGGTGTAGGGCTTCCTGCCTAAGCAGGGGGTTGGACTAGAAGACCTCCAACGTCCCTTCCAACTCTGTTATTCTGTTATTGTATCTTCTTCCCCCAACCTGCCCCTAGAAACACTCAACGCCATAAATATCTAATCTTGATCTTTCCAAATCTGGGGAAAGGCAGATAGGAGCAAGAGAAGAGAAAGAGGAAAGAAATAAACTTCCAACTTTTTTTGTCCAGTAGAATTCTAAAAAAAAAAAAAAAATTAGAACTTCAAGCTTTTATCTTACATCTCTAAATATTTCAAATAATTTCTGTAATGACCTCTATTTCCAGTGTCAGTGAAAAGTTCAGTCTTCAGGTTTTTTAAAAAGAAATCCAAACTGTACCATTCTGCGGCTTTGCTCCGCATTAGGAAGGCTTCTCACTGGGTGGTCGAATGCATCAAGAAAGACACCAACGCAGGTTCTATCTTGGGTGAGCTGCCCCGATCACAAGTTCGGGAAGCTCTTTTATTAAAAACACATAGTGATACGTCATAAGCGGTGAATTCTATCCAATCATTATGTTTACATGAGTAGAAATATTAGTGCACACATAGTAACATCCAATCACAGTTACATGGTCAGTTTGAAAGGTACAAAGTAGCAAATCAGCATTTGCAGTCCAGTTTTAGCCCATGATGACTTTTTGTTGATTGATGTTCTCTGTTCCTGGTACGCTTTCAGCCTACATGAGGCCTGGCCTGTACCGAAACTGTAGAAGCTAATTTATTACTGCACCATTCCATTGGAAAATTATCATTTTGTATAATGTTATTACAGCTCAGGGTTGGTGTTGTTTTCCTTCCTGGGCCATTACTTGTGACTTGTGCCATTCCTTCTTTTTGCAGATTGAGATGGGACTTGTATATGACTCTCCAGGTATGTCCTCCATTCTTACCTTATGGCATGTGGGATGGGGGATATGAGGTTTTTCTTGTCACATGACACCTATTTGTAGTCTTCTCGAGCTGGGGTTTCCAAACATGGCAACTTTAAGACTTGTGGACTTCAATTCCCAGAATGGCTGGCTGGGGAATTCTGGGAGTTGAAGTCCACGAGTCTTAAAGTGGCCAAGTTTGGAAAGCCTGCCTCTAGGTGTTCTTCCAATCTGTAACGACCAAATCTATTTCCAGCTGGGGTAGTGCCCAAAACCATGACTTGCGGCCATCAGCTTTTTCTAGGATAGTTTGCCATTGCCTTCTTCTGAAATTCTTTTTGACAACCAGTGTCAGGTTTCCAAATCCATTTAAAAAGAAAAGAGCAAAGTCCATCTTCCAAAACAATTTCTTTTATTTAGGAAAGCATCAAATTGGCAAAGTCTGTTATAATTCTGGATCTGACACAACCCGGAATTACACCACATAATATTGGAAGTTAGAAACAGCCCCCAAAAGTCACATTCCGCAATAGAAGTAAATCCACGTTTCCTGATGTCATCAATCTCCACCTTCGGGTCTCAGCACGGCCAGCTTTTGTTTCCACAGGAAGAAGAACCACCTAGCCAAATGAACTCAGAAGCACATTCCAAGCTTATCTCACAAAGATTGTAACTGAGGCAACCGGGTATTCTGGGTGCAAAAACCCTCTATTGGAGAGTGTGATTGATGACATCCAGCCCATGAACGTGTTTCGTTGGACAATCTGAATTATGATACACCCAGAAGGGTGGGGCGAAACAGGGTCATAAGTGATTGTAAATTACGTATCTCAGAATCAGCTTCATACAGGTCATGCCAGCATGTTGCTCCTAATAAATCTTTTGAAGTTTTGTGAAGTTTGGCTCGAGGCTCATGATTTAATTAGGGCGATTGATGGAATCCTGACACTAGACTAGACCAAACACAAGAATAGTTCCTGCCAACCAGGGAGTCCTAAATCCCGTTGTGTCCCATGGCTGACTAATCAATTAGATTTGGCTGTATGGATCTCAGTAGGGATCACTGAGAACAATTTAGTACAAAGGCAAGTGTGGGTCAGTATATTTGTTATTTTCTTTCTTTAGGTCATGCTATGATTTCCAAATGGTTGAGCCTCTATGATCCAGTGAATCTCAATGCTGGATTTAAGGGCTATGTGAAGGTCACCCTTTGTGTCCTGGGAGCTGGGGATCGTGCACCGGTAAAGCTCTTATTGTTTTAATGCTCAGCAATATAAAATCATTATCTAGGATAATTAAAGATGATGCTAGTTATTAAACAGTTTGATAAAAATGGAAAGGTAACTATGTTGGGCATCAATAAAAATATTTGTGTTAGGGTTATATCTTCATTAGACCAAAAAATAGCATGCAATAATGGAAGGATGGGAGGGAGGCAGGCAGGCAGGCAGGAGGGAAGGAAGGAAGGAAGGAAGGAGAGGAAGGAAGAAAGAAAGGAAGGGGAGGGAGGGATGGAGGACAGGAAGAAGGAAGTGGGGGAGGAAGGAAGGAGAAGGGGAAGGAAGAAGGGGGGAGGAAGGGAGGAGAGGGAGGAGGGAGGGAGGGAAGGAAGGAAGGAGGAAGGAAGGAAGGAAGGAAGGAAGGAGGAAGGAAGGAAGGAGAGGAAGGAAGGAAGGAAGGAGAGGAAGGAAAAGGGAGGGAGGGATTGAGAAGGGGAAGAAGGAAGTGAGGGAGGAATGAAAGAAGGAGAGAGAGGAAGGAAAGAAGGGGAAGGAGAAGGAGGGAGGAAGGAAGGAAGGAAGGACTCTCCAAAAAGATAGGTCTAGTCATTCTGTGGAGTTGATTTTTCTAGTCTGGTCTACTCGGTGGGGCTGACAGGTTCTCATTTGGCCATGAAGCTCATTAGATGACCACTGTGGGCTAGTTAAACGTAATGTTTGATGTTTCACTTAATGATCCTCTCACTTAGCAATGGAATTGCCAGTCCTTAGAGTGGTTGTTAAGCAAGATCTACCTATCTACCTAGTCCAACTTCTTCACCAGCACTCTTCCTTTTCCTCATGAGCTCAGAGTGATGTTCATAGCTTTTCTTCCTTCTAATTCTCTCCACAACCTCTCTGTTGGGCTAGAGACAGTGACTCATGGTCAAAAAGTCATTAAGGGAATTTCCTTGATTTGAGATAGACTGGAACCTCGATCTTCTTGTCCAACACCACATCATCGTGTCAGAATCTAGAACATTCAAGTGCCTTTTGTTGGAGGAGACCTAGCAATGTTGCAGCTGTCAGCTGGTTAGCTGACAGATGGATCGATCCCTTCTCTCCTCTCTTGTAGGACTTGGACCGGCCAGCAGAGACTGGTGATTTAGAATCCAATCTGCTACAGCTGGCAAGTGTGCCAGCTGCACGCACAGCCTCCCTCCAGCTGTACATCTACCGAGCAGAAGATGTCCCACAAAGTAGGTGCTCAGGTCAACCACGTTGTTCTACTGAGGAAACCAATGGCACTTCCAAAGGCAGAAATCTTGCCGCGGGTGCAAGAATGAAGGGGTGGCATTTCTAGTGTTTCTGACCATGTGTGGTTCTTGTGGATCATTCATTCAGCCAGAGAGTCAATGGAGACTGGAGAGAATTTGCTTCCTATAAGGGAGCAGATGTCCTAATATCAGGGGGTCCTTGGTCGATTTCTGAGCTTGGTTGTTTTTAGGCAGATGTTTCATTACTCAAACTAGGTAACAGCAACAGTGCTAATGTCAACTCGTAAAACATTCCTATGCATGTTTTCATGTTGCCATAAATGGGGGGGGGGGGGAACTGAAGGAGCAGTACAGCAGTTTAAAACCAGAAGTACATTCCACCCTTATCTTTAAAAGATTGTCGCTAGGTTACCGGATCTTCTGCCCATGAAAGTCCTTCATTGGAGAACATGATTGATGACACTCAGCCCATGGACGTGCTTCAATGGAGAATCTGATTTATGATAAACCCAGGGGGGAGAGAGGGGGAAACAGGGTCACAGGTGATTGTAAATTACGTATGCCAGAGTTGGCTTCATTTAGGTTAATGCCGGCATGTTGCTCCTAATACATCTTTTGAATTCTTTTGAAGCTTGGGCCGAGGCTCATGATTTAATGAGGGCAATCGCTGGAATCCTGACAGCTAGTGCTTCCCCTGTCGGGGTTAATGAAGTGTTCTTGGAGCTTCTACTGCCCAATGGCAGTTGGTTGGACCCATTTACTGCTATCTTGCTTGGCAGGTCTTGAATTGGGATTATTGTTTGGTTTTTGACTGATGAATCTTGAAACATACTTGGTTCCAAAGCATTCTGAAGGCAGTGGGAGGTCAACTCTGCCAATTTAACTGTATGAGAGGATGGTATGAAGATGTTCTTCTCTAGTCTGGCATCCATTTCTTAAATGGGGTAGACAATCTATCGTCAATAAGGGAACTTCTTTTATGGGCTTGGAACTGTTCTAGAGCATCCTGGTTGTGGGACAAGCCAACAAAGCAAGACTCAACCAATTATGGGATTTACAATTACAGTCATGAAGGCTCTCCTAATCTATTTCACACGCACCTAGTGTCTGCATAGCTCCCTTATCTCCCATGTTCCTGCTTTCCATTTCCTATCACAGCTCAGGTTAAATCCTGTTTTAGACAAGCCGCTGTCTGCAAGAGGCCACATCAGAGGTGGTATTCAGCCGGTTCTGACCAGTTCTGGAGAACCGGTAGTGGAAATTTTGAGTTGTATGGAGAACTGGCAAATCGCACCTCTGACTGGCCCTGCCCCTATGTATTCTCGACCTCCCGAGTCCCAGCTGATTGGCTGGGTCTCCTTTGGTTGCCCTGCCCAGGAGAACAGAGCTGGAAAGCAGGTTAGTGAGGTAGGGAGGGAACGGAGATTTTGCAGTATCTTTCCCCTGCCACGGCCACCAAGCCATGCCCACCAAGCCACACCCACCAAGCCATGTCCACGGAACTGTTAGTAAAAGAATTTGAACCCCACCACTGGGCCACATGCAAGCAGTTAGCAGACCACATAACTCCCCCCCCCCCACACACACACCTTAATAAAGTGGGATACTAAAAATAATCCTCTTCCTTACTTTTTCATTAGCCTGATGCTTGTTCTTCTTTGCAGTACAAGACGACACAGTGACACCTTTCACGGCCCCACCTGTGGATCCTCTCAGCATCTCTGTGGACCCTTCCCTGGAAGTTAATTTTGGAGGACGAGTGGTGGGTGTAATGCAAACGGAGGGTTTGCTTTTCTTAGCAGAATTATTATTTTTAAGAGACAACTATACGCTATTAACAGGTGGCATAGTATGTTTACAACACTCTTCAAAACACACACGCCAACAATGGTAAATCTCTAGTGAGGACTAGAGAGTCACAAACAGCAATAGGACGTAGATTTATATATCGCTTCATGGTGCTTTACAGCCCCCTCTAAGTGGTTTACAGAGTCAGCCTCTTGCCCCCAACAATCCGGGTCCTCATTTTATCTACCTCAGAAGAATGGAAGGCTGAGTCAACCTTGAGCGGGTCAGAATTGAACTCCTGGCTGTGGACAGAATTAGCCTGCAATACTGCATTTAACAGGAAGGAAGGAAGGAAGGAAGGAAGGAAGGAAGGAAGGAAGGAAGGAAGGAAGGCATGTCGGTGCAGTGGTTAAAGTGCTGTATTGCAAGCTAAGTCTGCCCACTGCCAGGAAGTTCGATCCTGACCGCTCAAGGTTGACTCAGCCTTCCATCCTTCTGAGGTGGGTAAAACGAGGACTCAGATTGTTGGGGGGTGGGCAAGTGGCTGACTCTGTAAACTGCTTAGAGAGGGCTATAAGGCACCATGAAGCAGTATATAAGTCTAAGGGCTATTGCTATTAACTCCTTGCCTGCGTGTATTTACATGTTAGCCCGTTTATATTTATCATCAGTGGCCTACTGACAGCTTGACAAAAGAAACATCCCCCTTTCCCAAAGGTTTCATGCTTGGTCACTTGGAGATGATCCTTGATCATCACAGGTGAGCCACAATATATAAACTTTACCCTGGTGACCCTTGCACTCAAGATTTAGACGTCAAGGGGACATTTGGCTGGGCTCTTACTTTGCCTGCTTGCCCTTGACTGATTTGCTTTCTTTCTCAATTATGTTCAGCTAAGGACCAAGGTCATTCTTGGAGACACCAACCCTGTGTGGAACCAGGTGCTCTGTTTTCCCATGCAGGTAAGCTGGGGCAGAAGGGAAAAGATGGGATGTCACTGACTGCAGGCTAAATTTATCAATAAGCAGGACACCCATCAATAAAAGCTATATTCAGGGGTGGGATTCTACCAGTTCGGCCCAGTTCGGGCAAATCGGTAGCTCCGAAGATCCGCTGGAAGCAAATTAGTTCACTCCGAAGATCAAGGTGTTTCCTTTTCCCCCCCACCAATATTAGCTGTTTTTCGAAGATCAGCTGTGCCGCACGATTTAGATTAGCAGGAAATCATCCGATTTCTTGCTTTCTAGCTAATCTAAATCACATGGCACAGCTGATTTCCCCCCTCGCTGTTGTTCTGCTTCACCCAGGAGGCTTCCCTGAGGCCCAATAGTCCCTAAAAAACCCCCACACCCACCCAGTCACATGACCACTTGGCCACACCCACCTGGCCACGCCCACAGAACAGGTAGTTTAAAAATTTGCACCCCACCCCTGGCTATATTGCTATAATAGCTTCTTGGACGAGAAGGGAAACATCTTCAAAGAAAAACCAAGGCAGGACAAGCTCCATCATTGGAGATTTTTAAGAAGAGACAGGGCAGTGGTTGTCTCAAAGATGCTTTTTCAAGAGGCAGCTGGACACTTTCTGGTTTTCCTTTGAAGTCATTTCGCTTCTCATCCCAGAAGCTTCTTCAGCTCTTGTCTTCAAAGAAAAACCAGAAAGTCCAGTTGCTTCTTGAAAAAAACATCTTTGGGATTCCAGTGGAAGACCAAAGAATTTTCAAAGTGTAGGGATAACTATTATATAGTTTTAAGGACATTGAGATCCTCTGGCACCTGGCTCTGAGACTAAATCCTCAGGGTTCTTGGAAACCTTTGGGGTACCAGAGATCTTGGATGTCTTTTGGATTTAAATATGCCTAAAATTTACATTGACTGTTTCCTAATATGATTTGATTGCATATTGTACCCTACGACTTATCATTAAGTGTTGTACCTTAAGATTCTTGATGAATGTATTTCTTGTATGTATACTGAGAGTATTTGCACCAAGACAAATTCCTTGTGTGTCCAACCACACTTGGCCAATAAAGAATTCTATACCTATATCTAAAAGTTCACCTTTTTTTTTTGAGCCATAGAAGAACTCTGAGAAATACCCCTGAGCCTGCAACATGAATGACCATTACAAATCAGATCAATTCACATCTTAAACCAACTCTTGCAACATTTCCATTTTTTTCATTCTGGGGCTTTGGACCTGTGAAAGCATGGGAATTCTCTGTCACACATGAAGATTTCCCTGGGGAGGGATGCCGAAAATGTTATTCAGGTGTAAGGAGGCTACAGCTAACTTCATGGAGAACTTAGCTGCAGCCACCTTCTACAATGGTTAACAACATGTTCTGTCAAGAAAACCCAATCAAAAATCAAATAAGTTTCAAGGGAATCTTGTCTTTATTTTTTCTTTTATATTTTCAATGTAGTTGCCTTCTATCTGTGACCTCATTAAACTCACTCTAATGGATGGGTGAGTACCAGCAATTTCTGTCATTTTTCCACTGCGATAACTGCATCAACTCTTGACTGTTTGCCCCAAAGTAGAAAATAAAGCATTTAGAGAAATTTAGAGAAAGCATATCCTGGTATTTTTCAAATATGATATATCGCAAGCCCTATAGTCCTCTTGCCTGCTCTTCCCCAGGACAAATCGACTCTTCATGACAAAGCTTTATTGAATTTATTTTTTATTGAAAAAAGAATATTGGAGTACCTACTGTATATATAAAAGATAGATAGATAGATAGATAGATAGATAGATAGATAGATAGATAGATAGATAGATAGATAGATGATAGATAGATAGATAGAGAAATATAGAGATAGAAAGAAAGATATAGATATAGATATAGATATAGATATAGACATAGATATAGATATAGATATAGATATAGATATAGACATAAAATTATTTTTAAACAGCAATGGCCAACAGAAATCTGCTTTATATGCAGATGTATCTGCATATACATATATCTTTAAAAATAATTTTATATAGATGATATAGAAATAGAGATAGATAGATAGATAGATAGATAGATAGATAGATAGATAGATAGATGATAGATAGATAGATAGATAGATAGAGATCACTAGAGATAGATAGATAGATAGATAGATAGATAGATAGATAGATAGATAGATAGATAGATGATAGACATAGATAGATAGATAGAGAGAGAGAGAGAAAGAGAGATCACTAGAGATAGATAGATAGATAGAGAGAGAGAGAGAGAGATCACTAGAGATAGATAGATAGATAGATAGATAGATAGATAGATAGATAGATAGATAGATAGATATAGAGCTAGAGAGACAGACAGAAACAGACATAGAGATATAGAGATATAGAGATAGATAGATGATAGATAGATGGTACATAGATTATAGATAGTACATAGATTATAGATGGTACATAGATTATATCTCAGAAAGAAAGAAAGAAAGAAAGAAAGAAAGAAAGAAAGAAAGAAAGAAAGAAAGAAAGAAAGAAAGAAAGAAAGAAAGAAAGAAAGAAAGAAAATTATTTTTAAAGAGCAAGACCTGGAGGATTTTATTCGAACTCCTGTCCCATCAAAAACGATATTTCTACAAGGGATTTTAAAAATGAAATATTGTCAAGACTCCCAGCATTTCTGTTGGTATAAGACTCCATTGTACCCCTCGTTTTCCTTAGTGCAGAAGAAGGAGATGGACTTCTTTTGGGCACTGCCTTCCTCAGCCTCGCCCAGATCTCTTGCACGGGAGCTGAAACAAAAAGTAAGAACATGCTTATTCCTATTCCCTCTAACCTTCCCACATACCCCCTTGAACTCAAATTGGCAACTTTAAGACTTGGGGACATTATACGACCTTCCTTGCCACCGTTGTTAAGTGAATCACTGTGGTTCTTAGATTAGTAACACGGTTGTTAAGCAAATCCGCCTCCCCATAGACTTTACTTGTCAGAAGGTCGCAAAAGGGAATCACGTGATCTTGGGACACCGAAACTGTCATAAGTACATGCCAGTTGCCAAGCCTTTGAATTTTAATCATGAGACCATAGGATTGCCGTAACAGTTGTAAGGGTGAAAAATGGTCATCGGTGACTTTTTTTCAATGCTGTTGTAACTTTAAATGGTCACTAAATGAACTGTTATTAAGTTGAGGGCTACTTTTAATATTACTCCTGTTGTCCTCACTCATTCCTTTCTGGCACCTTTGCTTCTCTGCCTTAAAAGAAGTCTAAACCGATCACTTCAGTTGGATTTGGGAACTGGACTGAGGTGTCATTCAGGAAATAAGCCAAAAGAACTCCTCAGCTGTCAGAGCATTTGTAGCGTGACTGCTATTATGAAACAACCCAGGAGCAAAACACAGCACACAGAGACTTAGACATTTATCAGTGGTTTATATACAAGACATATACAGAAATATATGTGGTAGGCAAATACCTGAGAAGCAATCATTCTTCTTAACTCTACATGGAGAACTCTGCAATGGATACCGGACACAAGGAGAGAGAAATACACCCTCTAATGGCTGCCTTATATAAACACCTCTTAAAGTGGTAAAATTTCTGTGGACCCACTGTTAGTTTTAAAAGGGCAATACCAATGCTGATCCATCTTCATTGCATCAGCCTTACATTGCATCAGCCTTACATTGCATCAGCTTTACATCTGGTAAACTCTTAAATCCCAATACCTTAACATTAGTAGAAATTCATTTTTCTCCCAAACTCTTTGTGTTTTCAGAAGAGACTTCAGGCTTCTTACCTTGCTTTGGCCCAAGCTTTCTCACATTCTACGGAAGCCAAAAGGAGTTTCTGAACCCAGCTGAAACTCCTGAGAAACGCAGGATTCAGGTGGTAAATTTGTCCCATTAACCAAGCAAAGTTTTCTAAGGGGAGGTTGAAAGTGAGCGGATTGTTCATTTGTCCTGTAAGCTAAGCAGACTTGAAGAGAAGAGAAGAGAAGAGAAGAGAAGAGAAGAGAAGAGAAGAGAAGAGAAGAGAAGAGAAGAGAAGAGAAGAGAAGAGAAAATAGACTAGAAAATAGAGAGTAGAGTAGAGTAGAGTAGAGTAGAGTAGAGTAGAGTAGAGTAGAGTAGAGTAGAGTAGAGAGTGGAGTGGAGTAGAGTAGAGTAGAGAGTGGAGTGGATTGGAGTGGAGTAGAATGGAGTGGCGTAGATTTCCTGAGAGTTAGAACAATTAATCAGTGGATCAATTTGCCTGCAGAAGTTGTAGGTGCTCCAACACTGAAGATTTTTAGAAGGAGATTGCACAACCCTTTGTCTGAAATAGTATAGGATTTCCTGCCTAAGCAGGGGGTTGGACTTGAAGACCTCCAATGTTTCTTCCAACTCCGTTATACTATTTGTGATTCTATTCTCCATATATCTCCACAATCTTCTCCAGGAAGAAGGGACCACGTATCGTGGAAGAGTTCTTATGGAGCTGCGGACTCTCAGGGAACCAATACCAGTTCAGAAAATTGAAGACATCCCTGGAGAAACTGTTAAAAAGATGCAGGTAACCAGGCAATGAAATGGATCCACAATTATTTTGCAAGAAAATATTTCCTTGATCTGAAATATGCCCTGGACTTTCTCCAAAGTAGTTTTTCAACTTATTTTCAAAGGGTTTATGAATGTCCTTCGAATTGTTCTTAGTAATATTTTTGAGATTGATCATTGGATGGGTGGAAGTTGTTCCTGTTAGTTACAGTACCTGTATGTCCCTCCCTCTATAGCCTTCATGGTTACCCATAATTCCCAACCAAGAAAAGCTGTTACGTGAACTAAAGAAAGTGGAGAAATCAGTGTAGAAATCTGGAGATCCTCCAGAGACATACACAATCACAAACAGGCCCCATTCTGTTGATTCTTTAGTGAAAATCTTCTACTCATTAATTATATGCTCTATTCTGTTTAGGCTATTGGCATTAATAGTTATTGAACGTGTTTAGGAATTTTAATAGTAACTCTTTCGAATTTCCTTGAAATTTTTCTAGAGTCTTAGGTGGGTAGTATTGATCTTTAAGGGATGTGGCGGCTCAGTGGCTAAGACGCTGAGCTTGTTGATCAGACAGGTTGGCAGTCCGGTGGTTCGAATCCCTAGTGCCACGTAATGGAGTGAGCTCCCGTTCCTTGTCCCAGTTTCTGCCAACCTGGCAGCTCGAAAGCGTGTAAAAAATGCAAGTAGAAAAATAGGGACCCCTTTGGTGGGAAGGTAACGGCGTTCCGTGTCATGCCGGCCATATGGCCACGGAGATGTCTTCGGACAGCGCTGGCTCTTCTTCGGCTTTGTAACGGAGATGAGCACCGTTCCCTAAAGGCGGAAACGACTAGCACGGGGAACCTTTATCTTTACCTATTGATCTTTAAATCATTGAAATTAAACAACCCATGAAGATGAAAAGTGGAAAAACATAACATTACCCCCCAAAAATCTTTTTTTCTTCCTATGAATTTACTAGAGTTTCATTGTGGAAATTCTAGCAATTGAGCTTTAATCAATTAATCTGTTTTAAGATGAATGAATGAAAGTAGGAATTCAGTCAAGCTTATAAACCTGGTAAATCAAGAAAGTAAGCAAGTAAGTAAGAAGTTAGAGTGGAGAATTATGTGGGAAGATCTGGGCTAACGTACACCTTTCTCACATAACCCATGACAATTCTTTATCTTCTCAGTATTTCTTGCCTCAGTTCCGATATGGTCTATGCGTTGTTTTTTACTCTGCTACCATGTTGGCTGATATCACGGAACCAATCCAGTTTGAGGTCAGCCTAGGGAACTACGGGAACAAATTTGATGAGACCTGCAAACCATTTGCCTCCACCACTCAGTACTGCCATGCTGTCTATGATGGTAAGCAAGAAAAGGCAGAAGGAAAAGTGCGTGGAGGGAAATCAAAGTCATCGTACTGTTTCAGCCCTGCTTCACTTTGATGGCATCCTGTCATAAAAAGGAGGGGATGGGAGGGATATAGGGAAGGGGGATGACAAGAACCAGAAGTGCCACCGAGAGTCAATGGTTGAGCGATAATGTCAGGATTCCAACAGTTATCCCAACGAAATCGTGAGTCTCGAGCCAAACTTCCAAAACTTCCAAAGGATTTATTGGGAGTTAACACATCCGGCATTGCCTGGGTGTAGCTGACTCTGAGACGCATCATTCATTGTCACCCTTGACCCTGGTTTTCCCCCACCCCCTGGGTGTATCATAACTCATATTCTCCAATGGGACACCTCCATAGCCCAGAGTCATCAATCATGTTCTCCAGTTAGAATTTTATGTGGCAGAAACTTCGGCCACCTAGTTACTACCTTCAAAAACTATTTATAGAATGCACTTTTGATTTCCAAGCTTCCGGACTGCTCTTTAAAATCCCTATCAATTATGGAGCTGACCAGCAACAGGGAGCCACAGCAGAGGAAGGAAAGAGCCACATGTGGCTCTAGAGCCACAGGTTGCTGACCCCTCCCTAAGGAGTCGTGTTGGGACAAGCCTGACACTCCCGTAATAAATAAGGACCAGTGACTCATTGTTTCCATTGCAGGTAACTTCTACTATTACCTACCATGGTATGACACTAAACCCATGGTGACCATCACTTCCTTCTGGGAGGATGTTAGCTACCGCGTTGCCTGCACAAACACCCTCCAGTTCATTCATGAGAGGCTGGTAAGCTTCAAGAGGAAGGGAAAGAGTCATTATTCCAAACTCACATAAGCAAAGTGCAATGAAGGGTGGTTGATGGGAGAGGAATGCATTTTCTATATTGGTGTCTTCAAAGTTGACAGCTTTAGATATATATACAGAATGGCAGAGTTGGAAGGGACCTCGAAGGTCTTCTAGTCCAACCTTCTGCCCAAACAGTAGACCCTATACCATCCCAGACAAATGGTTGTTCAGTCTCTTCTTGAAAACCTCCAGTGATGGAGCACCCATTCCAAGCCATTCCACTAATTAATTGTTCTCACTGTCAGGAAATTTCTCCTTAATTCTAGGTCAGATCTCTCCTTGATAACTTTCTGCCTGTTACTCCTTGTCCTGCACTCAGGTGCTTTGGAGAATAGCTTGATCCCCTCTTCTCTGTGACAGCTTCTCAAATATTGGAAGACTGCTATCATGTCATCCCTAATCCTTCTCTTCATTAGACTGAACATATCAGGTCAACAGGACTTGAGGCTCACTTAGACCAAGCAGTAGACCAGGGGGTCTTCAAACTTGACAGCTTTAAGACTTGTGGACTTCAACTCCCAGAATTCCTCCTCCAGTCATGTTAGCTCAGGAATTCTGGGAGTTGAAGTCCACAAGTCTTAAACTTGCCAAGGTTTAAGACCCTTGTTCTGTGATCTCCCTTCCTCTCACCCTTGAAACATTGAGAACAGGTAGAGAACATAGGTGCCAACCAATGGCTCCCTCCAGGTGACCCACAGCAGAGTGTCACTGTGTCCCCTGAATACCACCAGATTCTCAGATACCAAAAATACCCTTGGTCCTACCCCCCACAGGAAAATGCTTTCATGTTTTCAGTATATGTTGGGTGAATTCATCTAGCTGTTGGGTAATAAAAAGCTCAGCTGGGTGGAAAGATCAGGGGTCTTCAAACTTGACAGTTTTAAGTCTTGTTGGACTGCAACTCCCAGAATTTCTCCTCCAGTTATATTAGCTCAGGAATTCTGGGAGTTGAAGTCCACAAGTCTTAACGTTGCCAAGTTTGAAGACTCTTGCCGTAGACCAGAGGTGGGCAACTATGGCCCCTTTATGACTTGTGGACTTCAACTCCCAAAATTCCTGAGCTAGCATGGCTTGCTCAGGAATTCTGGGAGTTGAAGTCCATAATTCATAAAAGGGCCATAGTTGCCCATCCCTGCCGTAGACTATGACTGGTGATTTTTAACCCATCAATTACAAGGTTGACCTTAGAGCCATAAAGGTCCTTTCTGTAGCATTCTGCTTCTTACAGAAATTCTACCAGTTCTTCTTTGATTCCAGGCATGTTCACAGGATGAGGATGGTGATTAAAAAATAATCTAGGTTAGTTGGCAGAGCCTCCCCCTTTTCAAAACTTGTGCTGTGCTTCAGCCCATGTGGTAACTGCCATTTTGGCTCCTCCCTGAAACCCAGGGATTGCTTCTAACTCTAAAGGCTGGAAGCAGGCAGATGTTTGGGAAATTTTCTGCATTTTTGACCCCAGAGGTCACTTCACTTGAAGAGTCATGGATGACCAGAATTGACATGTGCTTCTTCCCCCAACAGAAAAAGAATCTGGATACTCTTAAAACCATCCTCCAGCCCCATGACCCATTGGTGGCTGTTGTTTGGAAGAAGCTTCAGAAAGAGTTGGTCGAAGACTGCAAGTAAGCTTTCAATGGGATACTCTAACAGGAATGTGGCTTCTGAGGAAGACAGAACCAAGTGGAAACTGATTTTTGTTCCTCTACTACAAGGGTCTTCAAACTCGACAGCTTTAAGACTTGTGAACTTCTACTCCCAGAATTCCTGAGCTCACATGACTGGAGAAGGAATTCTGGGAGTTGAAGTCCACAAGTCTTAAAGCTGTCAAGTTAGAAGACCCCTGCTCTACTAGAAGAGCAAAAATCAGTGAAACTACCTTAATGAGTTTTGCAGTATCCATTTCTTTTCAGGTGGTAGTGTGAAGGTTTCGAGTCAATTTCCGCAATAACTAACCTAGTTTTTTCTTCTAATCAGGTGTCTTGTTTAGAAGCAAACTCAGGTCTCCCAAAAGTCTTCTCTACCAACCCCAAGCATCTTCTAGAATTTAGTCAGTGAATATATTTACACAGTAGCACAAAGCTTTGGCTTGGCTTAGCATACAGCCTGGGTTGTGATTTATAAACCATCATTTATGGTTTGGCATGTTGCTTTAATCCAATCAGGTATGGTTGATTCAACAAATCCTGAGAGAGCTAACCATGACTTGCGTAGAGGAAGATACTATATATCTATATAAAAATATCTTCAGCAAGTTGGTATACAAAAACCAAAAGTATTTGAATTAGCACATTAATCCAGTTTTTAGGCGTGGCCTCAGGTTTTAATTACTGTTTGGAACTGCCTATTGATTCTTTATTATCCCTTCCATAAAAAAAATTTAGGGGACATTTCTTTAACCTTCTCCTAAAGGATGACTAAATATATTAGAGAATAATACATCCCACCTCTGAAAGTTTTCTTCTCTTTTGGAAGAAATTTGGAGAAATCAATGAATAGCAACAATGTGAGGCGAGAGCTCCGCCTCTAGGCCACCACACCACTCATCTTCTTCAACAGTCTCAAGATTGGCAAAGCATGTATCTCCTTGTATCTACCTAGTTCTGTGGTTGGAATCCGTAGTACCTCGATCTCCTCGGCCACCATCTTTCCTGAGTCTTCTTCCTCTTGCTCCATCTCCAGGAAGCCTTTGCCAGCTTTGGACATCCAGAAAGCTGTGACCGTCCTCGATAAACAGCTGTGGAAGCTACGGGTTCGGGTACTTCAACAAATCGGCAAGGCTGCAGAGAAGACCAACTGGAAAACCCCCTTGCAGAAACTCATCCCTAAAGTTGAGGGGTGGCTGAATCGGATTGCTTCCGTCGCAGTCGAGGTACTCCTTGTTGCAGCTTCTCCTGGGTAGAAGATGGAGGGGAGGGTGCCTTGCCAAGGATGAGGGGCTCTGCCCCATGATGTCTTCTACCTTAAAGGTCTTTCGTTCCAAAATGCCTTTCTCCGACGGGTCCTCTCCACAAGCGGATTGTTGGAAGAAATATTCAGGTCCAGGTCCAAGCCGGGAGAAAGACACTGGAGGCAAAATGGAAGCTGGAGGCTGATTGGAAAGATGGTTCCGTTGATTGATGAAGCAGAACCACAGGGGGTTCTGGGTAGCTGACCACCTGGATCCCAGCACAGCTGATCATCGGAACAGCTGATCATCTGGAGGAAAAAAAAGAAAAAGAAATACCTTAAGGAGTGACCAGGCAGTGAGAATGCAGTCAGGGAAGCCGGGCACGCGTGCGATGTTGCACATGTAAGATAAGGACTGCCTTGGTGGGGACGGGTGGGGCCAGCCAGGGTCACAATTTGCCAGTTCTCAGAACTGTGCAGAAGAGTAACAACTGGTTCTATAGAACTGGTCCGAACCGGTAGAATCCCTCCCCTGTTTATACCTTCTCTTGGGCTTTGCACTTGAACTTCCTGTTCCTGC